TATACAACAGAAATAGTCTGCATGCTGTATCTGAAACACTCTGCATCTAACAAAGAGTTAATAGATTCTTACTGTTCACCCCTATCTCAGTTTATCTAGTTTCTAGATGAAAGTGATTGAGTGCACTGCTGATCAATTACAATGGAGAAGTCTCCTATCATTTGTGCATATACCAAGGAGAACCTCCTGATGTGATTCCTCTAGAAGGCTTTGCACTGTGTGGGGGGAAGAATCCCACTAGAGCTAGTAGCCAAGAAGACAGAAAACACAATCTTTTCAAATATTCATAAATAATGCAGCTTGATTGTTAATGCATGGAGGGGGATAGGGTAGACAAGAAGAGACCTAGAGATTGTGTGCTTGAATTCTTAGAAGCTGGCTGCCATAGGCATGGCCCCACCAACAGCCATTTACCATCAAAGAGATAAAAGGAAAAGATTCATTTCCTTTGTGTACTCTGCTTTTAGCTCAGATATCACTTCCAGGAAGCCTTCCTTGCCCCAAGATGGCTTCATCCTATTGACTGTCCCAGAACCGTGGGTTTGCAGCATTGCACTGTGGTTTAATTACTTACCCACTTTTCCCACGGTGAGCACTTTGTGGTTAGATAACGGCCGCCTCTGTAATCATAGGCACTCAGAAAACATTTGTATAACAGTGAAAATGCGTGTGGAAAGGAAAACAGCCTCAACATAGAAGCTTTGTTGGGGACAGACTATAAAATGGTAAAGTTCTGGCAGAATCTCTTGGGTACAATTCCACTGAGTATGAAATAAAGGCAGAAACAGAAACTGCAGCAGTAGAGAAGAAATAAAAAGGAAGTGATAGAGGAGGAGAATCATCATCAAAATATTAAAAAGAGAAAAAGATACGGAATGGGACTCAGTGGGGTTTAGATGGACTGTTTTTGACGATTAATTAACAGATACTATGGACTAGTTGAAAAATCCAGGATCATAAACTGCAAAGTTAACACGAATCATCAACCAGTTCTACCACACACCTAGAGTGTGCTAGAATCTATATGCCATAGAGTCATATATTCTATGGCATTCCAGTTTATTGGGAAAACTCACTGAAATCCAGACTTTCCTGACTTACAATGTATATGGTTTGAGATAAATGTAACTGTATCTTCCAAAACCTGCCTTTCTGCTGCCAGTTGAAGTAGCAATGAAGTATTTAAAAAGCCTCCAAGTGAAAGCAGTTGTGTTTTTCCTGTATGCTTTTTGTCTTTTGCTGTGTTTCCTCCATTAACCAGAGTCCAGGGGGAATTCCTGCTTGTTATCTGAATAAGCCTTTGGAGTTGGTAACTGAAGCTTGTCCTTTCCCACTTTCCTATCTCCTCTGACATATGCCTCTGCTTATAGAATGTCTGTAAATGCTTTCATTTCCTTCCTTCACCAAGAGAAAAAACTGGAGAGGGTGGAGAGAAACATTTTTTTTAGACTGAGTTTTGCTCTTGTTGCCCAGGCTTGAGCGCAATGGCATGATCTCAGCTCACTGCAACCTCTACCTCCCAGGTTCTAGTGATTTCCTGCCTCAGCCTCCCAAGTAGCTGGGATCACAGGCACGCCCAGCTAATTTTTGTATTTTTGGTAGAGATGGGGCTTCACCATGTTGGTCAGGCTGGTCTTGAACTCCTGGACCTCAGGTGATCCACCGACCTTGGCTTCCCAAAGTGCTGGGATTACAGGTGTGAGCCACTGCACTTGGCGTTTTTTTTTTTTTTTTTTGAGAGAGAGGGACGGGATCTTGCTCTGTCACCCAGGCTGCAGTGCAGTGTCATGATTATATTTCATTGTAACCTGGAACTCCTAGGCTGAAGTGATCCTCCTGCTTCAGCCTTCCCAGTAGCTGGGACTACAGGTGCATGCACACCTGACTAATGTTTAATTTTAATTGTTTTAAAGACATGGGTCTCACTGTGTTTCCCAGGCCAGTCTTGAACTCTTGGGCTCAAGCAATCCTCCTACCTCAGCTTCCCAAAGTGCTGGGACTGCAGGCATGAGCCACTGTACCCTGCTGGGAAATCTATGTAAAAATATTCATCCACTCAACAAAATTTTGTAACTTGCTGAAGATGTGAACAGAGAGGTAGTCTGGAGGGATGGGTGATATAGGGGCTCCAGAATCAAACAGACCTGGATTTGAATTCTGCTTTGATCATTCACTAGTTGCCTAAATTACTATTTGTGTCTGTCAATATCTTAATTTCTCAGGGCCTCAGCTTCTTCCTGAATAAAGTAGGGATAATAGCTCCTCTTCCATTTGGTCTTTTGGGCAATCCATGGAAATGGCTTGGGGGCATTCTCCATGATGTTATGAAATGGCAGACTTTCTTCCTCTGCAAGAAATAGTTTGCTTGTCTGTCATGAAGAGCACTGTAATAGCAAGGCCTAGAATCATCTATTCCTAGGAGATATTTTAGGCAAGGTACATCCAACAATGTATTAAAAGCTGTACCCTGGAATGGTCTCAGGCTTTACATCTGTTTACGTCTGGTCACGAATCAATTGCCAGCTTGCTACTTGGCAATGGCTTTGTCATAGAATACAGGAAACCTGGCTTCAGGTCCCCAATGTATTAATCTGTTTTCAAGCTGCTGAAAAAGACATACCCAAGACTGGGCAATTTACAAAAGAGGTTCAATGGACTTACAGTTCCACATGGTTCATGAAGCCTCACAATCATAGTAGAAGGCAAGGAGGAGCAAATCACATCTTACATGGATGGCGGGAGACAGAGAGAGAGGGTTTGAGCAGGGAAATTCTCATTTTTAAAACCAACAGATCTTGTGAGACTTATTCAGTATCATGAGAACAGCACGGGAAAGACCTGCTCCCATGATTTAACTACCTCCCACCAGCTTCCTCCCATGACACCCAGGAATTGTGGAGTTACAATTCAAGATGAGATTTGGGTGGGCACACAGCCAAACTGGAAAAGACACCCCAAGTAGAGAGAAGAATTGTCATTGGATTTCATGGCTGTAATCTCCCAAGTTGTGTCCACAGTGCTGGGCGGGGGACAGATCTTTTGGTCTGGTTCCCCTAAACTGGTAAGAGATGATGGAAGCAGGGATGTCATGTGTCTCTTCAGAAGCTTTAAATTAGCCATCATGGAGGAACTTCAACATGGGAGAGCTGCTAACTCCATGCATGTTCTAGCAGATTATTAATTATTGTTATCCTGAGATAAAAATAAAGGAATTTATCAGAGGTTGGGAGGGGACCCCATTCTGACTGATGCCTCTTAAGAGGTTTCAATTGTTGAAATTACTGTTTTCTGAAAAGAATCTACTTACTACTTTGGGATCTTGGCGGGAACAAAGCTGCCTCCTTAATCTTTGGCCCTTCAATTCTCTTGTTACACTGTAGGATTGCTGTAAGGATTATTGCAGCAATAAAGTTAACACACCCCTTGTGTTTGAACCCTTTACCTTTCTTTATCAGCTGTGTGACCTTGGGCAAACACTTTCACCTCCCAGATAGTTTCCTCCTATGATAAATGGGGAATAAATTTAAAACATGAGCTATGCAACGAACGACCTAACACCATGCCTGCTATACGGTAAGTATTCAAAAGAGAATGTGCCCCGAGGTAATTACTGTTAGCACAAGTCCTATGGATACTAAGAAAAATAGGGGCAGACCACTCAGGTTTTCTACAAATGAGCCAATTTTTTGCCTTTGAAGTTAACCTCTAACCTTATGACACGGTGACAGGTTAGGATATGGGGCTCAGGAGAACCGGGCATGGTGAAAAATCAGGAGCATTAGCACCCAACTATGTGCGTCGAAACCCTGGTTGTATTTCTTCTTCCCGGTTGCTGAAGTCAGCCCTTCTGGCCGATTGGGGGATTCTCACCGGGAAGTTGGGGCTGTCGCGACCGTCTGCGGGGCCTCGGGAGCTCCTGCGGGGCTGGGACCGGGGCCTGTCCATGGGGATGCTACCCAAGGTGGGCGGCCTGGAGCGGGCCGCGCCGCTGGGAAGGGCCCGGGTCGAGGCGGGCGGGTGCCTGGGCGCTGGGGCAGTCCGGGTGGTCGGGTCGCGCGCCGAGGCTCAGGCAGTGGGCTCGCCCCGGCCTTTGTTGGCCGCCAGAGCGGCCCCTGCACGCGCCGGGAGGACCCCATCCAGATGTGGTGGCGGGAGCAGGCCGGCGCCCAGAGCGGGGACCCAAGACCGCGGCGCCGCTCTGGACCTCGCGGTGACACTGGTGAGACATGCCGGCCTCCCAAGCGCTCAGTAGGCTGCGCGGCGGCGCCCCTAAGTGACAGCCGCGCGGGCCACTGGCGGGGCGCGGGGCGAGGGGCGCGCGGGGCCGGCGGCGGGCGGCCAATGGCTGGCGGGGTCGGGGCTGCCCGGCGGGGCGGGGCGGGCGCTCCAGCGGCGGGGGCGGAGCCGGCGGGGGCGGGCGGGGCTGCCAGCGGCGGCGGCAGCAGCAGCGGCAGCCGCGGCCACAGCAGCTCCGCCGGCGGCCGCGGGAGCTCGGCGACGCCAGCGGCGGGTGAGGGGCTAGCAACGGCGGCGGCGCGCGGGAGTGGGAGGGGGCTCGGGGCGGCTGCGCGGAGGGCGCGGGAGCTGGGGGCGGCGCCGGCGGCCGGGCTGGCGGCCCCTGGCTGCGGGAGATCCACCTGCTGGTAACGGAGCTGCCTGCGCCGCGGCCCGGCCGGAGCTCTGCGCGGGGAGCTGTTGGCGCCTCGGGGCGCGGCTGGGCCTCGGGGGCGGGCGCGGGGCGCGGGGAGCGGGTCGGGGCGTTCTCCCCGCCTCCCTGACCCGCATCGCGCACCCCTCGGGGCCGCGCGCCCTCCCTGAGGTTGGCCGGCCTCTGGTGCGTTCGCTGCGCTCCCCCGCGCGGCGGGGCTCGGCGACTTTGGGGGAAAGTGGAGCAAAGTGCGGATCTGGGGGTTGCGAAGGGGGAGGGACAGCTGCCTGCAGGACCCGGCGGCGGCGCGGGAGTCGGCGCCTTTGCGGGGCCGCGGGGCAGGTGGGCGGGGGCCGGACGGTCCGGGGCGCAGGAGCTGGGCTGCGGCTGCCCGCTGAGGGGACCGGCCGTGCAGCCTTCGCCGCGAATTTTCACACAAAGTGAAGGGCTGCGAGGCCCACGCGAAAGAGCACCCCCCGCTTCCTCAGGCCTCAGCTCCTTCGGTGAGGAGGAAGCTGCAGTAGGACCCTGAGGCTGGGTCTCGGTGACTCCACCAAGTGTGCCAGGTAACATCTCGGAGGCGAGCTTTTCTGAACTGGCAGTCGAGCCACACGCACACCCGCCTTTATTCCTCGCAACAGTGTTTCTCTGGAGTGGGTTCGTTGCCTACATTCCGCATTGGAAATAGGAGGAGGCACAATGTATGCTTTGAATGCTTTCCATATATTTTGCTGTTGTGCTTTTGCTGTTGGACGAATTCTTTGATAAAAGATAATGACAAAGTGGTTCGTTGGAATGGAGACTGTAGTTTTAGAATAGAATAATACGGGTTTTGTGGTTTATGTTTCTTGTTCTGAATTCTAAAAAATAGTTTGATGAACAGGTTATCATGACATAGGTTTCTTTAATCCACACAAGTAAATCCGAAAACGCTCTGGGCGATGACATTATGTAAGCTGTATTAAAGACAACCATTGACCCTTTTATAAATGGCAAATAAATTAATTTTGCCCTAATTGTGGTGTGTAAAGTTATATAGGCTTACGTCATGGATTTTGATTCCGGATATCGGGGATTATTATGCCTTTCATTCTTAAGGCACCTCTGCCCTGTCTGTGGGATGCTGATGAAGGAATATGCCAAACGTTCAGCAAAGTGTTCTCAGCCATGGATTATATTAAGTATTTCAGAGAACACTTTAAAACAAAACAAGTAAAGGTTCTGTATCCGATAATAAAATAAAGACTGCAGTCCTTAAAGGACTGCTAACAAAACATAGTTCTGAGTCTGATGTCTAGAGTTAAAAGTTTCATTCACCTTTGGGAGGGTGGAGAAATGACTAGCAATTTTAGCCACTACCTTTTTTGTTGTTAAAGATTCAAACGTGTTAGGTTATGGTCTCCGAGAATATTAAGAAGCTAGTTTAAATTTTTTGCAAATGTGGACACTAATAAAACTGTGGGTCGCCTGTGTCTTACAAGCCAGCCTGTGAATTATGTCTCATGATTGAAGAGCGAGTAGATACTTGGTTTTACTCTTGTCTGAAGAGCTTGTTCACTTGTGCTGTGCAATTAACCTTATTAGCTGGGAAACCCTAATTAAAAATGTATGACTACATTCTTACTGAGTAAAACACACATATTTTTCTTGCAAAATTTCCAGACTTATATGCTAGTAGAATTCATTGTATCTTCTTCAGACCAGAGTTTCATAACTTCCTGGATCCAGTATTTTTTAATTTTTTCATATATTAGGGGTAGTATATCAATAGTTTACTTTGGTTTTTAGAGTTCATTTACTTTTACTTGTCTCTATGCATTTCTACAGAATTTTTTGCAAGCTTTATTTGTATTTACTAAAACTTTAAAAATATCCTTTACTTTGTGATGTGCTCTTTACTTTCCTATTATTATGAATTGAGTGCTTACTCTAATAACCTGTACACTTTTTATATTTTTTACTGGAACAGAATTCCTTCTGAAGTAAAATAGTGTGACGTAGACAGCAGCCGAAAGTTATGAGTATTTAATATAATGCCACACTGGGATTAATATTCCAAGTTATATAATTCGTAGAATTATCACCCCTGTTTTTATAATCAGAATTCGTTATTAGGTGCTTATTGATTTAAGACAATTAGAGGATTCTTGCTGTGAAGATTTTTTTTTTTTTTTTTTTTTTTTTGAGACACTCTGTTGCCCAAGCTGGAATGCAGTGGCACGATCTCGGCTCACTATAACCTCCGCCTCACCGGTTCAGGTAATTCTCCGTGCCTCAGCCTCCCAAGTAGCTGGGATTATAGGTGCCCACCACCACACCCGGCTAATTTTTGTAATTTTAGTAGATATGGGGTTTCGCCATGTTGACCAGGCTGGTCTTGAACTCCTGACCTCAGGTGATCTGCCCCCCTCAGCTTCCCAAAGTGCTGGGATTACAGGTATGAGCCACCTTGCATGGCCATTGTAAAGATTTTAATTCTAAACTGTAGATGTGGGCACGTTTCATGTTAACTTGTCTTAACTGTAGAAGGTGAATAAGTTCAGCCTTAGAGAACATGATAACTTATCCATGAAAGTATTTTTAGAGCTCCTTGTGTTCAGGTAGTAAAAGAGATTAGGTGCTTCTAGACTATTATGTTGAAGGTAGAACGGCTGAGGAGGGTTAACAGCCATAGTTTGGTGGAGGTTGTGGTGAGGTATTAACCAAAAGCTACAGGAAATGGAGATTTGTTTAAAGTTTTATGCTTAGACTTTGAAAATTTCCATGAATTTTGCAACTTACTCCATAGTAGGTCCATGTTTGTTATATAATATGAAATTTTTTTAAACTTACAGTGTAATCACCATTAATACTCTGGGAAGATTCTGCAGTTTAACCTGATACTTGGAGTATCGCTGGCACTTCTCTTCATATTGCCAGGTGCAGGTGGCCTCATTTGAGAGGGAAAGTGTGGTAGACGACAGCCTGGACTTCGGAGATGAACAATAAAGAGTTATTTCTCTGGATTCATTTCCTAGTGTGTAGAACAGGGTTAATAATGCCTGCCTCATAGGATTCTGTGAAGATTTAAACCATATGGTGGATCAGGCACATAGGAAACATTTTGTAAGTTGTAGTGGCTATCATTAGTACTATGCCCCTGTGATCTCTGATCTTTCTTTACTAGGGGGAATTTCTAGTAATATTCAGTGTTAAGAAGTAGTGGGGTGGCAATTTCTGAATTGCTTGCAAATGGCTGCTTTAATCAGTCATGCTCTTCGCTGAGAGAATTTTCCCTTGGGACTGCTGGCGATTTTTGGAGGCACATTAACTCCCTCACCAGAATATCATTCAGTATATTACCAGGTGCATCCTGTGGTACCCCCTGAGGCCACCAGGAATCTATGCAAGTCTTTGAGACTAACAGCCTAGAGTGGACTGAACCAGTAGCTGTCTGTTTTTTTTTTTTTTTAATTTTTGTTGTTGTTCAATTAACCCAAAAAGTTTGGTTTTTAGTACTTTAACATTTTTTAAGAACCTATTATATGCTGAACGCTGTGCTTATCTCCCAGATTTCTTGAGTTAAAGCAATGCAGAGTAATTGGGCCTGCGGCATACAGTATCCTGGCTGGATTGCCGCATTTTCTAAGTGCTTAAATATTTCCACTTTACACCCTGGGAGTGGGTTAGTCACTGGAAAAATGACATTTATTTTATAACAGTGATAAATAGCAGTATTAAGTGTAACCTTTTAATAATTTATGACAATATATGAAAGAGGATCCAAGACAGTTTTCCTTATTTTATGAATAAAACCTTGAGTCCTAGAAAAATGGCATGCTTCAAATCATTTAAGTAATGACAGAGTTGGGTCAAGGGCCCAGGTCTTTTGACCTTTATATGTTGTATCCTGTCAATTTTCTTACTTAAAAAATTACCTATTACTGTGCAATAGGAAAACTGGGAGAAAGATTATGTTACTCAGGAACCATTGTGTGATCATTAGCGTTCTCATCTTGGAATCTGTGAGCTCCACTTCTCCCTTTAAAATCAGTAACTATAACTTTCTTTTTACAGACAAAACAAAACCAATGAGGAGGGAATATAGTTTGAAACTGTTTTGTGTTTTTATCCTGGAGGAGAAGGATCACATAATTCTAGTATGTTAAATGAGTAGTTTTAATTGTAGGGATAGTCTTTATAGATACAGTTTAGCCCTGCCAAAAGTCTGTTGATGATGGAGAAGAGTAAATGAAGAAACTTATATTTTGCATTACTGAATGAGCTTTTCTTTCTCTTTTCCCCTGAATAGGAAGGGAAAAGGCCAAGGCGTCAGTGTATGAAGACCGCTAAGACAATCCTGAATGTAGTTGTGAACAGCATTGCTGCTAGGCTTCTCCTGCAGATAATCTGAAATGAACCTCTCTTATTGATTTTTACTGGCCTAGAGCCAGGAGCACTGGATTCAGTTGACTTTCAGAGTAAAAAGAAAACAGTCCTGGTTGTTGTCATCATAAACATATGGACCAGTTGTGATGGTGAAATGAGATGAGGCTCCGCAATGGAACTGTAGCCACTGCTGTAGCGTTTATCACTTCCTTCCTTACTTTGTCTTGGTATACTACGTGGCAAAATGGGAAAGGTAAGAAAAATGACTTGGAAAAGTGCATGAAGTGTACTAGGCTTTTTGCTTGGTTAAGGTGCCTAAATGCTTAGGTCAGATACCCTGGCAACCTGCATGTTACATGCTATCTGCTGGCAGTTTCTTTCTGGTACAAAAATGAAACAGTATTCTTAGACAGAGGAGACAATTTCTAATTCCAATGGGGTTTGTTTTGTTTTCAGTTTCTTATAATTGTACTTGGAGAAACAGATACTGATCAGTGGTTTATAGTATACATGACAGCCAAGTTTAATAATAAAGACTTTTGTTTTGGCATTTTGTTCTTTTTACTAAACATAATAAGTGTTTAATAAGCTTCTCTTTGTACTGAGTGTTGTATAAAACACTTACAAGGACACAATTAGTGCCTTCGTGAAATTTACATGCTAATTATGCTAATGATTGGGTGCTATGTAGTTAATGATTTAAACTGCGTGCATTGACAGATTACTCCTTAGGCAAAAGTATTTAAGAGGGGATGAGTAGCAATTCTGATTGGACTATTAAAACATTTTTAAAAAATTAATTATGTTTAGACTATTGAACTGTGTTTTAAAGAGAAGCTATCTGTTCATTGGTTGGAATTACATAATTTAAGGATAATATATATATATATTTTTTTTGAAGAGAAACTACTTGAAGTAAATTCCTACTCATACTTCTTACTTGTCTCCTTACCTTTGATTAATCTAGGGAATGTTGATGATGAGAAGAAACGTAGAAATGTTGAGGTGGTTGCATAACTGGTTTTTTTAGAGTAGCTGTTGTCACCTGGGCTACTTGAAGCTGCTGTTGCTGATGTTGTTTTACTGACTCATGAAAATAACTGAAAAGACTGCTTGTGACTTTAGTTTTCCTTATGTGTGTTTACATCCATGTCTCTATATACATATTGCATATGTATATATCTGGATGTCCATGTATATGTTAAAAAAGCTGATACAAGTAAAACCATACTCTGTGCTTTGAGCAAGTAGAGTCTTTTCCCATTCTTTGTCTTTCTCTGAGTTGGGCTCTAATTTTGGGGAGAACTCTTGGGGGAAAATGAAAGAAAAACTTGCTAAGGTCCTTTTTTCTTTATATACAAATATGTACATTTTAGAAATCATGTTTATATTATACCAAATGAAGAGACTTAATCAGGAAGTGCTTTGTTTTTGTTTGTTTTTGACGCAGAGCCTTGCTCTGTTGCTTAGGCTGAAGTGCAGTGGCAAGATCTCGGCTCACTGCACCTCAACCTTTGTTACCCAGGTTCAGGCAATTATTGTGCCTCACCCACAGGAATAGCTGGGACTACAGGCATGTGCCACCACACCCAGCCAATCAAGAAATACTTTGAATAGTTAATTTAATCAAACTATTGATTGTCCCTGACATGAACAAATGACCGGCTATTAAAAGTCTACTTATGAAATAAGAGGGTTGATGATCAGAAACACATATGGATTTTTTTTCTTATCAGGAAACTTACTCAGAGAATTATGGTAGCAGAGAATCTTATTTGAAAGATTAGAAGTCTTGGTATCTCCATTTCATTTTTCTTGTTTCTTATGTAAAGGCCTTGTAAGCATCATTATTATTCTTTTTATTAAGCTATCTTTAGAATGAAAATTAATTAAAAAAAATAAAGATTCTTTCACCACAAAGTGTTAGATGCACATACACAGTCTGTTCTCTTTGATCATCACTCTCTGAATAGCTCCGTAATTCTTTCTTGCAAACTTCTACTCTGTTTTTCTACTTAGTGTTTTTTTTCCAGACTCTTCCGGGTATCAACACAGGTTTCTGGTTATGGTTACGTAAAATCTCCTGTGTTAAATGTTATTGTTTCTGTAACCACTGAAACTGTTGGGCATTTGTATTCTTTCTAGAGAGTTCTGGCAGTCAGACAGCCTGGATTTTCCAGGGAGGTCCTGATTCCAGAGATTCAATTCTAATGTACCCATAAACCACGTGCTCTGATTTTTATTTTGAAGGTACAATTTCTATAACCTTTGACATTGCCAAACTAATGTTTTTCTTTTTTCATTAATTCATGGGTCCTTTACGTGTACCTATCTTGCACCTAACCCTATATTATATGCTATTAATAAGAAAAGCAGTAAGTAATTTTATGCCTTTGAGCAGCTCAGGGACTGGTCAGGGAAACATACCTGTAAACAAAAATACCATCAGATAGAATTAGATAGAAACAATAACAGTATTTGCCTGTTAGTATATTATATGTGTTTTGATCCTCATAATAACCATGGGAGATATTATCCTCTTTCTGTAAATAGAGAAACCAAGGGAGAGTGATTGAAAAACTTACCAAGGTCATATGTTAAGTAGTGGAGTTAAAGTTTGAATTCAGGCAGCCTAATTCAAGACCTTATACTCTTAGCTATTGGTCTGTTGCCCAGAAGAGCAGAGGCAGAAACTGCTAATTCTTCAGGTGTTTTACACAGCAGGTGGAATGTGATGGCTGAATGTGAAGGCCAAACCAGGCAGAGTGGGGAACACTGGGCATATCAGGTACAGGGAGCTGAATATGCAGCTACAAGTTCTGAAGGGGAATAGAGTATTCATCCTTTGGAATTGTGAGATGCTCATTAGGACCAGCACAGAACTCCTAGACTCTCTCAATGTTTAGCTGGTAATCGCAGTACAGTTCCTAGAAGTACTGGTTTGACATGGTCCTCATTTATCACTTGAAAGAATACATGAGCTGGTCCACGGGATTGGCATAGATTTGGGAGTATGTCAGGAATCCTGCCAGGGGAGCTGTGGTGCAAGACAGAGTAAGAGTTTCAGCAGATACACGGCATTCCCACATACAATTGAGGCAGATTTCCAATTATGTGGAAGGACAAATTAGGAAAGTTGTAGGTGGGTGTTGTGAGAGTGGGGCAGGAGTAGTTACATGTCTCTTGTTGGGAGGAGCAGGACTCCTGATGACCCTCCTGCTGTGGTGTGGTGCAATCTAAACCCTGGGTAAGACTGATGAAGCAGTCATAGATCCCTACCATGGGGACAGAGACCGGCATTATTTTGCAGTACCTGATCCAGTGGTGTTTAGTAAACATTTAATAAACATTTGTTAGATAAATGATTGATTCCTTCAGCAAAAATGTATTTAAACATTTTTTTTTTTTTTGGGGACAGAGTTTCACTCTTGTTACCCAGGCTGGAGTGCAATGGCGCGATCTCGGCTCACCGCAACCTCCGCCTCCTGGGTTCAGGCAATTCTCCTGCCTCAGCCTCCTGAGTAGCTGGGATTACAGGCACGCACCACCATGCCCAGCTAATTTTTTGTATTTTTAGTAGAGACGGGGTTTCACCATGCTGACCAGGATGGTCTCGATCTCTTGACCTCGTGATCCACCCGCCTCGGCCTCCCAAAGTGCTGGGATTACAGGCTTGAGCCACCGCGCCTGGCCGTATTTAAACATTTTTAAACAGCTTTATTGAGATATAATTTACATACTCTACAATTCACCATTTAAAGTGTACAATTAATTGTTTTTGGTATATTCACAGATACATGTATGTATCACCACAGTCAATTTTAGAACATTTTTATTACCTCAAAAAGAAATCCTGTACCCTTTAACTATTACTGCCTTAACCCCTACCTCTGTCCCCTTCCTTCCCTTCCTCGAGGTTGGGCAACCACTGATTTTTCTGTCTATAGATTTCCTTGTTCTGGATTTTCAGATAAATGGAATCATATAGTAGGTGGTCTTTTGTGACTGGCTTCTTTCACTTAGCATAATCTTTTCAAGGTTCATCCATGTTGTGGCAGATCAATTCACAGTGGGGTTACTTTACATAAAAGGGATGTGCGCATCGTCCCTTCTTACAGCTGAATAATGAATGGTCCCTTGTATGATGTACCACTCTGTTTATCGATCCATCTGCCAGTGAACTTTGGGTTGTGTCTACCTTTTGGCTATTACGATTAATGCTGCTATAAACATTCAGGTACATGTTTCTGTGTGGACATGTGTTTTTATTTCTCTTGGATATTTACCAAGGAGGGGAATTGCTGGGTAATATCATAACTCTTATTATGTTTAATCATTAGAGGAATTACCAGACTTTTTCAAAGTGATGGGACACTTATACATTCTTACTCTTTTACTTCAATCTGTTTATCTTTGAATTTAGTGTGTGTCTCCTGTAGACAACATATAGTTGGATCATGCTTTTAAAATCCAGTCTGACACTCTCTCCATTTTTTTGTATTATATATTCATATATAATGCTGTTATTGATATGGCTGGACTCATTTCTGTCATCTGACTTTTGTTTTTCCTGTGCCTCATGTCTTTTTTGTTCCTGTGTTCCTCCCTTCTTTTTTTTTTTTTTGCAATGATTGAATTCTAATGTAGCATTATTATTTCATTAATGACTTTTCACTACTTTTGAGTAATTTTAGTAGTCCCTCAACTACTAAAGAATCAGCTTTAGATTTTTACTAGCTTAATTTTACTGCTATATAGGAGTGTTGCTCCTATGTATGTCTATTTCTTTTTACCCTTTTGGAAGGTATTGTTATACATACTACATCTGTTAATGTTGCAAACCAAACAATATATTGTTATAATTACTATTTTTATGTGTTATTATTTCCTTAGCCCATTACAGTTTTATTTCCACCTACCTCCTCTGTGCTATTATTGGCAATTATATTACCTATATTTTTGTACATGTTATAGATCCAGCAGTGAATTATATAAATATTTTATACAATTGGCTTTCTAAATCAGTTAACCAAAAAAAGAAAATATACATTAATAGTGTCTATTCTAATTTCATAACTATTGCTGCTCTTTTTGTGGATTTGAACCACCATCTGGGGTCACTTCTTTTCAGCCTGAAGAATTTCCCTTAACGTTTCTTATAAGGCATGTCTGTTCACAGTGAATTCCCTCAATTTTTGTTTATTTAGTTATGTCTTTATTTCACCTTAATTTTTTAGAGACAGCTTTTCTGGA